ACAATGATATTTTGAAAATCATTATTTACCTTTTGTCATTAATGTTGGCAAATATTTCTGCTTCAGCTTTATAGAAACTAGAAAATATTTAAATAATCCTTATAAAAGTTCATTGGTCTGAATACATGTATTTATTGTGGCTTCTAAATTTCAGTTCATTTCATTGCTTTAGCTTTAAATAACCTTAAATAAAATTGATATTAGAAAGAAAAATTTAAAATCATAGAAAATTAGGAGTAAATTCAAATATAAGGAATTAATTCATCACATATTAAAGTACTTACTTTAACATCTCAAGACTTAATTTTTTTTTGATATGACCTTTGTCTCTAAATCACGTTATTGTAAAAATCAGAATATATTTGTATACACATACCCTCTAGATAATCAGTGTGTTTTATAATATATTTATTAAAAACATAAGAAAACTTTGCAGTGCTATTTTATACAATAAATATACTTATTAAAATAAACATTTCAAGATATATGCTTGTAAATTTAATACTTTGGACAAATGTTGAAAAAACAATCTATTTTGTTTAAAAACATGTAATAAATCAAAGCTATTTTATAAAATATTAGGAACTTTAGAGTCACTGACATTCTTTCAGAGCATTAAACATCCCTGGAATATTTCAGTTTTTCTTACAAGCAATGAGAACTATGATTTTTACGACTGTGGGCACCAAGAGGATCCCCAGGTCGTCAGCAACAATCGTCCCTGGAGTTAAGGGCGAATCTGCAGGGAGAGAAATGGAAAACACTGAGAAGAAATGGGACGAATGTTGACATTTGCAGACCTGAGACCAGCCTGCACAAGAGTCACACATGGGAGGTGGATTCCAGACCCTCATCTCCTCTTGTAATCTGGCCGCCAGGAATTATATCGCGTTTTCAGTAAATGTAATAGATGGCAACACCCAATAATAACAGAATCTCGTTTCAGATTACAATGGCATATTCATATTCCAAGCTGCAACTCTCACACCAGAATATGTGAATTTATCCTCTACTCTTTCACACT